GGAACCCGCAGCAATTTCTAAAGCATACATTTGACTACATCACATCGATGATTAAAATAATCTCCCGTTGTCTTCAGGATCAAGTCCATCTCGTTGGCTGAGCTGACAGCCCCTTCCTCCCACCCCTGCCCTGACCCCTGTCCTCCCTCACATAGTCCGGCCGGACCGAATTGCCAGTGGTTCTCCAAGCTGGCCAAAGTGATTCCATTCTTCCAGGCCCCTGTTCCCTTGCCCCCTGCCTGATAAACACCTACTAGTCTTTTAGCCTCTTGCTCAAGGGTCGTTTCCCCTGAGGAAAGCTGTCTCGATGCTCCCAGGAGGAAATGAATGCTCTCCCTTTGCCCCACTTGCTCCTGTGCAGACACGATTCCCAGCACTGACACACTTGATTATACTGATCTGTTTGAGGCCTAAACGCCTACTGGCTCAACAGTTCTAGAAAGATGGCCCACATAGTGGCTACTCACTCCCACGCCTCTAGAAATCCTCCCAGTTATTTCAGAAGGTCCTCAGAGGGACGCCCCCATGTGCTGACAAGGTGGCTGCTGACCGTAGGCTCATGTGGGGTACACTCTGCTTCTCCCCAGCTCTGGCCCCGCCGGTCCACGTGCACTACCTGGGGTCAACATCCGTGTCCACGCTGGCAGGCCTTGTCTGGGTGCTTCTAAAGCTTCTGGTCCTTGGGGAGCTAGAGCAGGGGTCTCCCCCACCCTCCCTGTTTCACCTCATCAGGCCCGAAGGAGCCCTCCTGCACCCAGGCTCTCTCCAAGTCCCTCTTGAAAAGTTTCTGCCACATCTTCCCTTCTACCCTCTGGCTTCATAAAGAGGGAAAACCCGTGCAAGGGACCCCGGGGGTGGGGACAGGACTTAGAAAGCTTTTTGGGGGGGCTGTCTTTTCCCCACATCTGCTCTTCCCCTTTCCGAAACTTCCTCTCTAGTGTATGAGTGAGACAAAGACGTCAGTGGTGTGTGGATGGAGGGGAAGAGGTATTTACTCTATTAAATAAAATCAGTTCTAAATGTCCATCATGTAGTGTTTCTTAAGAAATTATTGCCTGCTGGGGCGCCTGGGTGGCTCAGTCGGTAAGCGTCCAACTCTTGATTTCGGCTCAGGTCATGATCTCATCGTTCGTGAGTTTGAGCCCCTGCATCAGGCTCTGTGCTGGCAGTGTGGAGCCTGCTTCAGATTCTCTCTCTCCCTCTGTGCCTCCCCAACTTGTCCTCTTTCTCTCTCTCTCTCTCTCTCAAAATAAATAAACTTAAAAAAAAATTATTGCTTATTAATGCGTAACATGAAACAAGTTACACGTAAATACATCCTTGTAAAAATTAGAACAGCAGATGGGGCGCTTGGGTGGCTCAGTCGGTTGGGCGTCCGACTTCAACTCAGGTCATGACCTCACACCTTATGGGTTCGAGCCCTGCGTCGGGTTCTGTGCTGACAGCTCAGAGCCTGGAGCCTGCTTCGGATTCTGTGTCTCCTTCTCTGACCCTCCCCCGCTCATGTTCTGTCTCTCAAAAATAAATAAACATTAACAATTTAAAAAAAAATTACAACAGCAGAGATAAGTATGGGTTGCCTTCACTCAGCTTCTCTCCAAGGAAATCCTTGTCTTTGGTCTGGAGCACGTCCTCCCGCACCTGTGTGCTTACATGCATATTCATATGCATACAGAGAAATAGCCATCTTTTTAAAAAATGTTTATTTATTTTTGAGAGAGAGAGTGACAGAGCATGAGCGGGGGAGGGACAGAAAGGGAGACACAGAATCGGAAGCAGGCTCCAGGCTCTGAGCTGTCGGCACAGAGCCCAACGCGGCGCTCGAACCCCAAACCGTGAGATCACGACCTGAGCCGAAGTCACACGCTTAACCGACTGAACCACCCAGATGCCCCCCGAGGTCCACTACTTACCTGCAGGACCTTGGTCAAGTTTTTAACCTCTTTGAGCCTCAGCTGATCCTCAGGCCGGATCAGCTTTTCTTGTGACATATGGATTATTAATTCATAGGTGTCACCTGAGAAAAGATTCCATGGTCCAGTATATTTGGTAAATTCTGGTTGGACAAAGTTAAATAATAATACTTATAATACATGATAATATATATCATTATAAGTATCATTATATAATCCTATCAATATATTGTTACAAGTAAATGATAATATAACAACACATACACTATTTATTATGTAATGATTGTTGAATATTGTGATATTACTATTTCATAATTGAATTATATAATAACATTGTTTCGAGTGCTTACTATTTGTCAGACGCCCTTACAAGGACCATCTCATTTAACCCTCAAAACAACCCCATAAAGGAGGTTACTATTATTATCTGTGTTTTACAAATGACGGACTAAGGTCATCAGAGCCTTTGGTACCACGCATTGTCACTCTCTAAGAGGGAGTGGGGACAAGCAGTATTTCTGATGTTTGTCAGCGGATCCCCTTTTCCCAAAGGGATGTCATGGTGCTGGGGCTTTGTAGACGTGAGGTGGGGGAGGTTGGGCAGGATCCGGTCTGGGATTCTTTCACGCTTTAACATTCCCTTCCCACTCCTGACGCTGTGTGCCCCTCCCCTGGAGGCGAGGGAACCTTGGCGTGGGGACCAGGGCTTGGGAAGGGAGCTCCTCCGTCAGGTTTTGCCCTCCAGCAGCCAGGGGCTGATCAGAGACTCAGGGCTGTGAGCAGTTCGTTACTGAATGGGAACAGCAGCTTGACCCCTCAGTTACATCTCTGGGGACAGCAGTCCATACAGGTTGTTAGCTCCTGAGTTCTTGATGTACCAGAGAACTGGTCCAAAGCCACGCAGCTCAGGGTGGAAGGTGTTGGGCACTGTTCTGGCTGGGGAGCAGGGGAAGGGGATTCTTCCTGACCCCCCTTGCATTTCAGCCTGGGGTTTACTGCCCTTGGGGTTGGTATAAGATTTTGGAAATGGGATCCAAAGGAGTTGTTCTGGAGCTGCGGCTTCGTTGGAAGGGAGAGCGGAGCCCCTGTCCCACCCCAGAGCCCCGGCCGCCGGGCTGAGGGGTGAGAGGCTGGAAGCCAGGCTCTGACACAGCTGGCTGTGGACCTGCCAAGTCATTGCCCCTCTTGGAGCCTCTGTTTTCTCCTCTGTAAAATGGGCTGGGCTGCTGTGAGGATCCAATCAGACCTGAAAAGATGTAGGCTGTACTCCCCTCAGTCAGTTGTTATGATTATGGCCCTGCGGCTCGCACGGGGCACTCTAAGCTCCTCTGGAGTTTTGGGAGCTCACAACCCCTTAATATTTGGGGGTGGGGGACTTTGGTCCTATTCTTTTGTTTCCTAACACAAAGCTCCTTCCCAAAGCCTCCTATCAAGCCAGAAGAACAGAGATTCCAGCTCGGGCTTGGTGTTCCTAGCAACCATCTGGCCCATGAAGAGCAGGCCTCCTTCTCTGGGTCAAATAAAGAGTGACTCACCTCAGCCCAGCCCTGGCGGCTACAACCTTAGTGAAGGCCCCGCCACACCCTGCTTTCATGGCCTGCCTTGGGTCACACCCGTCTTCTTTTCACCTTTGGGCACCCCAGACCCACTCACAGGTCTGATTCACTAGTTTAAACAGCCTCAGGCTGGCCTTCCTGAGTGGCTCAGGGCTCTTGCTGGTGGGTTAGGGGTGTGTGTAGGCGGTTTCCTGTCCCCTGCTCCTGGCTATAAGTTGGTGGCTGGAAGGCAGTTTGTTGGGGACTGGTTTCAGAGGCCTTCCTTTAGCCACAGGGGACCCAGGTGATGATATGTAGAAAGGAGGACTGAGATTTCACGGGGGAAACTGAGGCACGTTGATGGCAAGTGACTGGCCCATCTCCCTAACAGCATCTCAGAAGGGCTTAGGGCCTCGGTCCTGTGACTGAGTGACCGCTCCGACCTAAGGAACCATGGAGACATTTCTGAGGAGGGGTGAGGTCCTTGTGGACAGGAACTGGGGTGAGGCGCAGGCAGTGTCTGGCAGGGGGCCCGGCCTTCCCAGGCGATGAAGAAAAGGTGGAATTGTTGAGCGGGATGAAGAGGGGTGAAGAGCGGGGCTGGGGGCTGTGTGTGGAGACGAGGGTTCCTTCCCCTATGATCCAAGCTCTTCACTCCGGCCATGAGAACCTCCGGAGAGCCTCGCAGTTCAGCCATTCGTCCATGTCTGAGGCTCCGGGATTCAGCCTGATACCCTCCTTCCAGATGCTCACACGGAGGGAGGGATTCCACCCCATTTCTGTCTCTGGGTGGCAGGTGCTACATGTCTCATGGGCAAGTTATTTGCTTCCTTCAGGCTCAGATTCCCCATCATGGATTTCAGGAAATCTGTGTTGAATGAATGCATGATTTGCCAGCCGGAGGTGGGGCTGTCCTGGAGGGGTGGGTGGTAAGAAGAGGCCCCAGGGTCTGCCCCAGGTGGGGTCAGGCTTGAGCCTGGGGTTCCCAAGAAGCCCCATATAGCCCAGCTGCAGAAGCCTCCTAGCAGCCAGCAGCTGTTCAGGAGCCTGCTCTCTCCGCCTGCCCCCCCCCCCCCCCCCCCCGCACAGCCCCAGCCCAGCCCCAGCCCCGCCCGCCCCAGCCCAGGCCAGCCCCAGCCCCGGATTTGTATGGCTCAGCGAGGCAGCTTTGTCTCAGAAGGCCAGCAGCAGCAGTCCCCTCCTCTGGGAAGGAGTCAGGAGTGGGTGATCCCCATGGGGCTGTAATTCCAAGTGGGGTGTAGGAGTCTCCTGAATATGCTGGAAGGAAGAGGATTGCTTGGGCCCCCAAGGGAAGGGCTTCAGGCATGAATTCAGAAGAGGGGGGGGCACTCTGAGTGCTGGGGGAGGGGAGGACTGGGTGTAAGTCTGCTGTGGGACTTAATTCCTGGAGGGGTGTCAGGCCTGGGAAATGTCTTAATCAGGGAGGCCCAAGTGTTGGGGTGTCGCGCTTGTGTGTGATGGGGTGAAGAAGGGAAGAGGTGTGACAGGAGGTGCTCCCTCGGGGCTCTGGAGTGGGCAGGGGTGAGGGCACTTCGAGGGGGGGGGGGAGGGTGGGGGTGGGGTGGGCACAGTCTCAGGCCCCTGGGAGGGAAGAGCTGGAGGCAGAGCCTCCAGGAATCGACCAATAGGAAGTGCCGTATTTGCACTCAGGTAAAATTCCTCGGGCTCAGATATCCGCCTGACGCCTCCCCCCTCTCCTGCCCCCGCCCGCCCAGGGCATAAAGCATGAGTGAGGCCCTCGCCACTCCTCCCGCCAAGCGACACACCTCGGGCTACTGAACTATTCCCGCTGCGTCCCCATGGCTACACTTACCGCCAGTTGGCCACCACCTCGTCCCTCCGGGGCCGGAGCAGCGGCTCCTGCGCTTCGCGGCAGGAAATGTCTTCCGCGCGCCCAGCATCCATGGGGGGGTTCGGCGGCGTGTCCGTGTCCCTCCTTCGCTTCGTGTCGTCTCCTCCGGGGCTGCGGCAGCAGCTTGCAGGCAGCCTGGCCGGGAGTCCGACGGCCTCCTCTCCGGCAACGAAGCTCACCATGCAGAACCTGGCTGACCGGCTGGCCCTCCTACCTGGAGTGCGCGCCCTGGAGGAGGCCAGCAGCGACCTGGGCTGAAGATCATGACTGGTACCAGAAAGCCAGGGCAGACGCACCTCTCGAGACCTAGCCACCTAACACAAGACCATCGAGAACCTCGGAGACCTGGGAGTGTGTGGAGTCAGGAGTGCACCTGTCAGCATAGACCAACCCGCAGGTAGGCAGGCAAGAGCAGAGCACAGCAGGCACCAGGAGCCACCACCAACAGGGCAGGGCAGTATGACCCGTTGGGATGGGGCCACCCAGGGTGGGGCAGAGAGCTGGGGGCAGGTGAGCGGGGGCAGGACAGTGGGACAGGAAGTGGAGGGAGGGCTGTGAGGAAGGGGTGAGGTGTGCAGCAGCCTTGGAGTAGAGGCGGGGCTGGAGGGTGGGGAGGTCTGGGAAAGGGGGTGAGAAGGAGTAGGAGGAGGTGGGACAAGGCTGTGGGCTGTCCGGAGGTCTGGGCCAGAGGCCGCAGTCACAGACAAGAGTTTGGCCTGGGAGGGACCCATCCGCTGCTGCCCCCGGCGTGGGCCCCTCTGCATTGCATTCCTCTGGTGGGGCAGGTCTGCTTTCCTTCACGCTCGGGCTGGAGCCCCTCCTGCCCCGCCCAAGAGGGCCACCCGGATTTAGGAAGAACTTCTAGGAAGAATGGGAGGGGACAAATGCTGTGGCCTAAAGACCTGGTGAAGGCGGGACACACTCAGAGGCCCCGGGGGTCCTTTTCAGCAATAGTTCTGTGTGGGTGGAGAGCCCTGGGGTTGGGGGGGTGGACCACAGGTCTTACAGGGAGCCCCGAAGCCATGCGGAACTGAGACCTCTGCCTTGAAGAAATGTATCAGAAGCCAGTGGGACATTTAATGGTCCCACATGCTGGGTCTCCAAAGCGGGCCCGGCGCCTGCCCTGTGCCCAGCATGGTGCGGGCCGCTAGGGGCATAGAACAGATAGGCCAGACTTCTAGACGAGGGGGTACAGCTAGAGATGTAAACAACAAAGTAGAATACTGCTTGCACACTTTAAAAATTGTAACCTGCCGTAAGAAATACATTTCAGGGTGTACCCCCACGCGTTCTCGCTCTGTGATGCACACACCCAAAATGGAAGCAAAGCTTTCTTGAAACAATTCTTACCCTGCTGTGGTCCATCTCTTCTCATATTTTATATTCTGTTCAGTTTCATTAAAAAACTATGCAAATCACCACTCACTGTACTGGGTGACTAATGAGCCATGACCTGCTCTTTGAAAAACATGAACCCAAGTACCATAATCCATGATGTGAATATGCCCATCACATCAGAGGGACCTCAGATGGGGGTCAGTTTGGACAAGGACTCCTGAAGTTCATTTCCACCTCTGTAAGATAGGCATACCCACTGACCTGGCATGAAAGATGAAGTGCAAAGTGCTTGGCACATAATAGATGCTCAACACACGGGAATTCGCTTTCCTAAAGCAGATTGTGCTTTGCACGGGGGGTTCAGAGAAAGGTAACCCAATACGCCATCTGGTTTGCAGATCATTAGCGTCTGCCTCCCGACCATTTAGAGTACAGGTCTCAGATGCTTTCCTCCCAGACTCACCTCTGCCCTCCCACACCCGTCCCCTACCCCCTGGCTCAGCAGTCCCTGACCACGGTTTCTCCTGCTCTAGCTCCTGGGCAGGGACTGACTTCAAGACCTCCCAGAGAGCAGGCCAATGGTCAGCTGAGTCTCTAGGGGGTAGGGGCACACCCATTTGTTTTCGTCTGTCTTCTGGGAAGAAAGTGGGTGGACAGAGCCAATATGCTGAGCTGGTGCCAACCTCCTGCCTCTGTCTTCCAGATTCTCGGTGCCACCATCGAGAACTCCAAGATCGTCCTGCAGATTGACAATGCCCGTCTGGCTGCCGATGACTTCCGCACCAAGTGAGTATGTGTTTGCCCTGAGGGCTGCAGAGGGGGCAATGCCAGGCCCTTTGGGGGCTCGGTGCAGCGGGGGACTGCTCTCTGTCCTCGCTCACCCCAGCTGGCCTGGAGTAAGCCCCACCACCTCCACGGACTCCTGAACCATGAGGGGAGATGGGAACTCTGCAGGGGTTCGGAGGAAACGCTGGCCTGACTGCACTTATTTCCTCTGAAAGGCTTGAGATGGAGCAAGCCCTGCGCCAGAGCGTGGAGGCCGACATCAACGGCCTGCGCAGGGTGCTGGACGAGCTGACCCTGGCCAGGACCGACCTGGAGATGCAGATCGAAGGGCTGAAGGAGGAGCTGGCCTTCCTGAAGAAGAACCACGAGGAGGTGGGTGTCAGGCTGCGCCTCCTGTCCATCCCACTCCAGCTTTCCAGGGCTGAGGACACTTTTTTGTCCTGTATCCTCTTGACCATGGCTGCACTTGCTGTACCCTCGGCATGGCCCCGGGCGTGGAGCAGGGCTTCCGGGGGTTCCAGCAGCGGATGGAGGCCACCTCGTCTGTCCTGCGGTGGTGGCTCCTGGTCTGCACCTGAAAATCAAGCCCTTTCCGCCTGGGGGACGGGGGAGTGACTTGGCCCAGGCCCAGCAGGCTCTGGGCTCCGACATGCCCATCTCTGCTGTGTCTTTCCAGGAAGTCAGTGCCCTGAGGGGCCAGGTGGGTGGCCAGGTCAGCGTGGAGGTGGATTCTGCTCCGGGCATCGACCTTGCCAAGATCCTGAGTGACGTGAGAAGCCAATATGAGGTCATGGCTGAGAAAAACCGAAAGGATGCTGAAGACTGGTTCACCAGCCGGGTACGGCGAGGGGAGCGGGTGCCCTCTGGGGAGGTGGCAGGGAGAGAGGGCTTTGTGCTCTCAGACAGAGGTCTGCCTCAGTGCTGACTCCTTCTGCCTCCTCTCTTATTGCAGATGGAGGAGCTGAATCAGGAGGTGGCCGGCCACACAGAGCAGCTGCAGATGAGCAAGACGGAGGTCACCGAACTGCGGCGCACCCTCCAGGGTCTGGAGATTGAGCTGCAGTCGCAGCTAAGCATGGTTTGTGCCCCCTGCCCCGTGGGATGCACGCCGGGGCCCTCGCAGCCTTGCGCAGCCCGGGCCGTGGCTGTGCCCGTGCCCTCTCTGGGAACCGGTCTCCGCTGAGTCTGTTCCCTCTCCCTGCTCTCAGAAAGCCGCCCTGGAAGGCACGCTGGCGGAAACAGAGGCCCGCTTTGGAGCCCAGCTGGCCCAGATCCAGGCTCTGGTCAGCAGTATGGAAGCCCAGCTGAGCGACGTGCGTGCGGACACTGAGCGGCAGAACCAGGAGTACCAGCAGCTCATGGACATCAAGTCACGGCTGGAGCAGGAGATCGCCACCTACCGCAGCCTGCTGGAGGGACAGGACGCCCAGTACAACAACCTGCCCACCTATAAGGCTCTCTGAGTCCGGCAGCCTCCTGAGCTTCCTGCTGTCCTGCAGAGAGGTTCCCCTGGGGAGGGGCATGTGGGAAGGGACGGGCCCTACCCCCGGCTCTTTCCCTGACCTGCCAATAAAGCTTTATGACCCAAGGGAGGAAGGATGTTGGGTTTGTTGTTTCAGCCCATAGAGATGGGCCAGGACTTGGTCCTGTTAAGGTTTTATTTGGATCAGAGTGCACCCTGTCCTAAGAGAGGGAAGGGGTGGGGTACACGCTAACTCCTATGGTCGTGGTAATTCCTGTTTGCGGAACTTTTCATTTATCAAACCTGTTCCTTGAAACAAGCCTGTGATGGGGGCTCAGTTGGTTGAGCGTCCGACTTCGGCTCCGGTCATGATCTCACGGTTCGTGGCTTCAAGCCCCACATCGGGCTCTGTGCTGACAGCTCAGAGCAGCCTGCTTCAGATTCTGTCTCCCTCTCTCTCTGCCCCTCCCCTGCTCGTATTCTGTCTCCCTCTCTCAAAAAAAATGTAAAAACAAACTTGTGAAGCAAGCATTGCTCCCATTTTATAGAGGGATAAACTAAGGTTCAGAGAGGTGAAGTGGTTTGTTGTGTGTGTAACTGTTCCAACATGGCAAAGGTGGGATTTGAAACAGTGTGTTTTTTTTCAAATTTAGTTTTTTCAAATGTTTATTTTTGAGAGACAGAGTACGAGTGGGGGAGGGGTAGAGAGAGAGGGAGACACAGAATCCGAAGCAGACTCCAGGCTCTGAGCCGTCAGCACAGAGCCCGACTCAGGGTTCCAACTTGTGAACCGTGAGATCATGGCCTGAGCCGAAGTCGGACACATAACGTACGGAGCCGCCCATGTGCCTCCAGAGTTAGTTTTCTTTCCACTTTACTCCCTCATGGGTGGGTGTGTGTATTTGTGTGTCGGAAATTAATGTTTATTTGAGCACTTAGTATGTGCCATTTAATCAAACAACCCTCAAAGGTAGTTAAGTAGGAATACGCGTCGTATAGAGCAGGAAACGGGGAAGTTAGGTAACTTGTCCAAGTTCACAGAGTATCTAGGTTTCCTGCTTACTAGCTCGCCGGGCCACCTGGTACCCCAGTCTCCTAGGATTTGACACTCCCTTGTGCTGGGTCCTCAGTACCTTCAGGTCTTGTTCCGTGTGAAGTCCTAGGACCGGGATCCCTTGGGGGCAGCTCCTTTTGATAACATTTCTTCACCAAGCCAGGAACGGGGGCAGGCATCCCACTGAGAAGGCTGAAGAGAGTGTACCTGTTGGTGTGCATCTGTGTGCGTGCATGCGCTAACACATTCATGCATTTCTGGGCAGCCCCACATAAGCCCCCTACGCCCACCAGCTCATACCTGGGCCCAGAGCCTGGAATGGGACCCGGCCGTGACCTGGACCTCCCGCACAGACCCCCAACCTGGCTTGCCTGAGGCTGGTCCCAGGCCAGCAAAAGAACGTAAGTCCCAGCTTCCTGGTAGAACTCTGCCCTTGTGGGGGTGTGGTCTTGCCCCTGTGGTTTACAGTTCAGCTGCCAAGAATTGAGGCCAATTAAAGGTAAATAAGTACTTCCCCTTGGCTGAGAGGTTCAGCCTGAGTGGGTCTGTTAGGTCCCAGGGATCTGCCTGACGGCAGGTCCGCTCTGCGAAGGGAGGGGGTCAGGTGAGGAGCACTCTACCCCCTGCCCCCAGAAGGGCTCCTGTAGGGGACTGAAGTGGACACTTGTCTGCTGTGTGTCCCGCACTGTGCTAAGGAGCCTGGGATCCAGGCATACCCTGTGCTGATGATCCTGAGGTGGTGGTATTTCTAGTTTTCTGTGGGTCTTAGAGGGGTTTGTTAGCTTGCTATAAGTCAGAAATGGGGACCCCAGAGCTCAGATCTCTCTCGGGGTCTGGAGCCCCTCTGCCACCTCCCTCGCTGTTCTGCCCTGGCCTCCAGCATCTATGACCACTCCCCACGCCCCCACCCCCTCACTTAACGTTAGGGGCCTGGCCTCACTTAACGTTAGGGGCCTGGCCTCACTTGGAGGCTGGGTCTGTCCAGAGATTTCTGTCCCCTGTTCCTGAAAGCCTCTGTTGTCACAGCTGAAACCCTCCCCTATGCCCCAGAGGCCCCTGGAATGTGGTGTGGGGCGGGGTCTGGCCTCACACAGGTGGGTCAGGTGACTGGGTTGCAGGTCTGGATATCCGGAATGAAGCCTTCCTTTGTGTGTGTGTGTTGGGGGGGGGGGGCAGGGGCACTTTTCTGTCTCGGTCTGGGAGCTGAAACTAGGGGTACTGTGTTGACAGAGTCTGGACTAGGGGAGAGGGAGGGGGAGGGAGAGAGAAGGGGAGAGGATTTAGAGGGTGGGTCTTTCCATCCCCGCTGGGCATTGCATTATGACCACTGGGTTTGCAAAGCATTTCCTGTCAGTCATGTGGCTCCATCCCTGTGAGTCAGACTGGGCAGGAGTTATTTCCATTTTCCTGATTGGTAGACTGAGGCTCAGAGAGGAGGCTGCATTACCCAAAGTCCCATACTGAAGTCAGCCACATACCTAATAGAGGAGGAATTATCCAGGCCCCAGGACGAGTGCTCTCTCTGTCCTGACACCTCCCTGGTGGGGGAGAAGGGGGGGGCAGGTGAGGGTGGATTTATGGAGACCACACCCTCACGTGTCATTGAATGTTAACGGTGGCCCTGTAGCAGGACTCCGTGTTCATGGCTCCAATGGCTCCGTGATTTCTTTTTGTTTGTTCTGGTAAAATACACATATAATTTACTCTCTTAACCATTTGAGAGTCTATGGTTCTGTGGCACTGACATTCACACTGTTATGCAACCATCACTATTGTGTATGCTCCTGTGTCCGTCTTGTAAAACTGAAACCCTAAGTCTGTTAAATAGTAATCCCTTGTGTGATTCTGACTATTCTAAGTACCTCATATAAGTGGAAAAATGGCCCAATTTTAAGTCGGGAACCTGGCTCAGCGAGGTTGAGTCACACCCAGAGGTGGAGTCCAGCCCAAGGCTTTTTCCACTGGGCTGCTCGTCCAGGAGAGAAGGCCCCGAGACAGCCTGTTTGCAGTGGGCAAAGGACAGAAACTAGCACAGCGTGGGTGGGCTGCCTGGGGCAGGGCCCCAGGCTGCAGCCTGGGCCGGAACCAGGTAGAGCTGGGTCCCCACCCTTGCCTGGCCTCTCGACCCGCTGCTAATGAGCAGGAAGCAAGGGGCCTCAACCTTGAGCTTGCAGGAGCTGTTTGCACTGAAACCAGGGATTCGTGACTGGGACAGCTCCTGCCCCCGGAGAGGCCTGATGGTGTGTAAAAGCCCCCTTTTGAGGGGTGCTGGAGAGGAGTCAGGGTGCGGATGAGGGGCTGGCCAGGTGCCCATCCCTCCCTCAGCCTGGAGTGATGGCGTGTAATTGTTCCTGTGTTAATTGCTGGGGCCGTGATGTCTGCAGAGACTCTAATGAGCTGTGGCTGATCTGACTTTGATTATTTTTCTTTCGGAGGGAAAGACAATGTCCTCCCGCCCAGGAGACAATACTGCACTGTCTGGGCCCAGTGCTCAGAGGCCCAGCTCAATCACCCCCTCCCACCCAGGCCTGTCTCTCTTACCACCCTAGCTCAGATGGCAATCCCGGGTACTGAGCCACACTATCTGCTTCCTTAGAAGTTGGGGAGCCAAGAGGAGGCAGGATGGGGGCTCTCAGGTCTCAGGTGGAAGCTGACAGTGCCCCTTGCCACAGGAACCTGTCCAAGGTTTCACAGCAGTAATTGACGGAGCCAGGAATTGAACCCAGGCCTTAGGGACTCTGGAGCTCTATCCACCTCCGTGTGCTTCAGCCCTGGAAAAGGTATCGTCCTGACTCTCCAGATCAGCCTTGCTTACCTCCCCAAACCCAAGAGCCCTGGAGCCGGGGCTAGAGGGTCAAGCCGTGCCTCCAAATGGCACTACCCACATGTGACAGGTATCCCTGAAAGCCGGCCTCTGGGTTGGTGGCAGAGAAAAGGGCTTTCCTGAGTGTTTTGCTCCCGCCTCTGGCCTCAGCATCCTGCTCTGTAAAGAGGTGTCTTCCAGTCGGCCTGCCAGGCCTCCCAATCTTCTCCCTCCCAACACTCAGGCACGTAGAACCCTCCGGGTCGGTCCCTCCCTGGCCCCACAGCGCTTGACAGGACAAACGGAGTTAATCTGGCTTTGCTATGCAGGGACATGCCTCTCTCTGGAGAAGGCAGGGGCTTCCCAGACCAGGCTCCAGTCTTATCTGCAGAGGTTTGCCCCGACGTGTCCCAGGAGCAAGCAAAGGTTCAGTGACATGTGCAATTGGCAGGTGGCGGGATTATCAATCAGCCCCCTGTCAGCCCTGAGGCTCCTGGTCTTTGGGAGAGTGCCAGGGTGGTGGGGCAAGGGGCTGGTGGGGGCCTGGGGTGGGGAGGAGAGGAGGGGATGGAGGAGGAGAGTCCTGCTGTATCAGGGAAATGACGGATGTTAGCTTCTCTGATCACCTTAGCTGGAAATGCGCTCATGACCCCCTCTCTTGTCCTCAGCCTGTGCCCATGGGCCCTGCATTCATTCCTGGGTGTGCCTCTGCCCACCCATCCCCAGAGGCCACTGCTACCCCCCCCTCCAGCCCTGCAGGCTCACACATGGGGTCTGGGAGTGGGATGACAGAGCAGCGATAGGGAGGGGGCTCACAAACTGAGAGCATGGAGCTGGCCGCCTGGGGTGAGGGTCCTGGGCTGGAGGCAGCAGAGAAAACTCCGGGAGGGCAGAGCTGGCCTGGGCTGCTCTACCCGTAGGCGGGGGCCTGGTAGCTGTGGAGTGACAGGAGATTTCTCCCCAGCAACTCTTCACGTTCTCCCGGGAGTGCAGACATGAACCTGCCTTCGAAGTGTTAAAACCATGGCCCCGGGGCAAAACACCATTCATTCTGAATCATCTCTTTTGTTGCATTTAAAAAAAAAAAAAAAA